ATAAGTAGGAATCTGAAACAAAGTATATTAAAGTATATTAAAACCCCTGCAATGTAGACAGATTTCCCAGAGGGGAAAGTTTTCACTGAGCAAAAGCGGAGTTACTCTTTAAGTAAAATCATCCATGTCCAATATGGAGAATTATTGTAAAGACTACAGACATGAAGGGAAAAGTGCTCCACTCCATTAAATAGTAATGATCTGAGCACAGAAGGCAGTATACCAGGAAGGTGGCAGTATAGCTTTACAGAAAACAAACATTCCTGACTTTGGACCATACATTTTTGGTGCTGCTAATATGTCGCTGGTACTTCTCAGCATAGGGCGGCTACCTCTGGATACTTGTAAAGGGTAAGGTAAGTGAGTGCAAACAGACAAGGTGAGCAGCTAACATACAGGGCAATCCTCAGTACCTTAAACGTGAAATAAATAAAATGGGGTATGTAGCGCTAGAAAACAAATATCAAACAAAGAGGGTGTCACCATGTATAGTAACAATAATATTGGACATAAATTGTTCATATGGTGTATCTGGAGGGCAGATGGATACGATCCTGACGTTCCAGATCCAACTCAATAGAATGGAAAAAATTGTGCGATTTATGCGCTTACCACAAATACATACAATATGGGCATTGTATGTAAATCCTCAGCAACAGGACATCATGGTCTGGTCAGCAGCATGAGCAGCATCTGGTCACATCAGGACATCAGGGTCTGGTCAGCAGCGTGAGCAGTATCTGGTCACCATAGCAGGCATTCAGGGATGGTGGTGCACACCTTTTTAGGGGTCCTCTCAGACTCACTCGAAGGTGAGGAAATGCAAGTCAGCATTTATGATGTCCACAGAGGCCAGAAGGTCTCCCAGAGGGAACCGATGACTGTCCAGGCGGACTTCATACTGTCTCTTTGTACCTGGAGGAAAGTGTTAGGAACCTTTAGATCAAGTATAGGGCACATGTCCCCTTTGGCTTTGGGTATGATAAGCACACTTCTGGGGCATGGCCCCTTGAAAAAGAAGCTGTGCTAAAGAAGTCTGAAGGTATGCCAAGCTGTGAAGCAATTTTGGCAAGATTGACAACAGAAAGTGCAAGGCAGAAGGAGAGACAAACATTTTTGTAGCTCCTGGATATGAGGATTTGGACCCAAATGTCTGAAATGTTATGTGGCTGCAGAGGTCAAAAGATGTTCCCCTCATTGAAAGAACTTTTTGTGGATGTGGAAGACTAAAGGGGCCAGGTCTTATAACAGACCTGAATTTACAGGCTTTGCCTTAGACATGGAGGACTGAGGGAAATGAAACCTGGGTTTTAAAATTTGCTTTTTTTTCTATGACAATAGGGTGCCCTTCCATTCAGTGACTCCCATGATAAATTTGTCCAGGGATTCGCCAAAGAGGTGCTATCCATCAAAGGGTATAGAAGCATTTCTTACACTAATGCTCCACAGACCAACATTTGAGCCAAATGATCTTTTGCAGATGTACTGAAAAGAGGCCCATTCTGCATATTTGCCATATAACATCTGCTAGACCATCCACACAATAGAGTAAGGCCACAGACATGAGTTCCAAAGCTTTTAGCCCTTTATCCACTGGGTCTTTAACCACTTTAACAATGTATATACCTCCATTTGTTTCTGAATGATGATGTGGTGGATATTTATTTTTGCAGTACCATTTACCTCTATCTGTTTAAAAAAATCATATAGCATTCACTTTGGTATAGTGTTATGTGAGTAATTGAAAGCCTGGGTGCACACTTGTGCGGTGCGGGACACCGAATGTGATTTGCACAGAAACCGCACTGCATTCCTGTGCAAATCCCATGCAATGTCTGTGCAGTGCAATTTGAGCTATTAATTTTTTATGGCTCAAATCATACAGCATCCTCACCAAATTGGGTAGCACAGTGGCTAAATGGTTAGCACTTTCGCCTGGCAGTACTAGGGTCGTTGGTTTGAATCCCAACCATGGCACCACCTGCTTGGAGTTTACATGTTCTCCCTGTGCCTGCGTGGGTTTCCTCCGGTTTACTCCCACATAGACATGCTGGTAGGTTAATTGGATCCTGTCTAAATTGGCCCTAGTATGTGAATGTAAGTTAGGGACCTTAGATTGTACTCCCCTTGAGGTTAGGGACTGATGTGAATATACGATATATATGTAAAGCGCTGCGTAAATTGACAGTGCTATATATCCCCTTCATGACCAGGCCATTTTTTGCTATTCAGCACTGCGCTGCTTTAACTGACAATATATAAACACAGACACACACACACACACACGTGTTTGAGCTTTGGTTTGAGGTGTGCACCCTAATGCAATAGGCTGAGCTCACCTGTGATTGTTGCATATCTAACTATATATACAAAGTGCATTATATCACAGTAGTGTAGCATTATAATACGCTTGCATTTATATATATGGTGCATACATTTGTGTTGTGGCCGTGGGCTGCTACCTGCTGGGATCTAATGTTAGGAAAGGTTACATTTGTATCAATCCCGTGAAGCAGTTTGCTCTCTGCAGTAGTGGATTCATAATACTTTTTTTGGTGAGCACAAGAAGGTCCATACATCAATACCCCTGTTGTTAAAAAACAGGGGGCCCCATAAACCAACCTGACAGCACCCCCCTCCCAAAAAAACACAGTTTACGTTTCAGTTATGAATGAACACAGTGAGTGATCAGTACTGATCATTCATTGTGTTCATTCAGAAAAGGAAGGGTTGGCTAAATGTGACATATTTACTGGACCCTTCCCCCACTCTCCATCCTGAAGGATCCTATTGTATGATTTCAACTGCCGGTGGAAAAGAGGAGGGAAGCCGACAGCACTGTGGCGGTGGGGGCACACAGGGGCCTGGGAAGCATGGGGAAATGTATGGTGCACGGGGGAGGGTGATGGGTGTGGCAGGGGGACAATTACTGGAACCGATCCTCTGTATGGCTTTCTCTGCAGCAGCTGTAAGTCAGCGGGAGGGAGAGGAGAAGAAGCCAAATTTCAGCTGCTGCAGAGAGAGCCATACAGGGGATTGGTTTCAGTAAGGCTAGGTTCACACCTCCGCGTTCCTGCAGACCGCATTTTGCGTGGGCACGAGAGCCCATTTATTTGAATGGACTCCCATGCCCCGGGATACGCAGGGAAAAAGTCCCTGCACTTCTTTGGAAAATTCAGCCCGCACGGGAACCTCGATTCCCAATACGGTTACGATTTTCAGTGCAGGCAGCATGCTATTAGAATTAATGGCACCCGCCCGCGGGTCCGCATTCCTCTATGCAGTTGGTGCGGCTGCACAGATTTTTGTGTGGATCCGCAGCCGCACCACCCGCACATATGTGAACAAGGGGTAACTGCCTCCTTGCTGCTCCAATCACTCTTCCCGCCCACATCTGATTCACCCAGCTGCTTGGGCCCCACTGCTGGCCAGGGCCCCATGCAGGAGGACTGGTGGTACCCCCTTATCCATGGCCCTGCTAATACCTAGCTCCTTCTAGTGGTAAAAGGCAGTATTTCCTGTTTTAAGTCAATAATTTACATTCCAACAGTACAACATACAGCCTATTTTTGCCTTGTTTCTAAGAACAAATGTATATGCACTTTCACCAAGTGAATGGCTATGTGAATTCTTTATCAATCAAATCAAACCAATCCTTTAGTTTACAGTGCAGAAGTCTCCCTCATATTTTCTTTTTAAGTCAAATGTTCTAAGTTTTACTCTATTTTCTCTACTGGTCGAACATTTTTAAAGATATTGATCGGATGTTAGGGAATGAAAGTCACCTGCTTCTCCATATTTGGAAGTACCAAGTATTCATTTTGAAAGGGATGTGTAATGTGTTGATGCGCCAGCACTGCATTCTGGTGTGAATTGGCCCTAAACAGCAGACTATTTTTTTTTGCAAACTGATTACTACATAAGGTGCTGTAATGTACATCAAAACACAATGCCCGCATTATGCAAGAACAATAAAAATCTTTAGCAAATTAGGGAGAATACTGTTAGTCATGCAAAACATATATTTTTTTTCATTTATGTCAGTTCACGTCAGTCTGCAGCATATCCAAAGAAATATAATAAGGAGCCATCATAAGAAAAATCACTTCAGTGACCGACATGCCAGAAATAAGCCTGGAAAAAACTGCCACACTAAGTGATCTTGAGTTAAAAATAACTCCATGTCTAGTAGTTATTCATCCCTGAGTATACTGCTGCCGTATGAATTAATACATGCAATAAATCAAGACTTTAGGAGAGAACAAAGATCAGTTATGAGGCTCAATGGAGAGAAAAAGGATACACAAATACATACAGTATATCATTTTAAGGACAGCTATTGCTAAATATATTATACTCTGATAAGAGACCAAACAATCAGTTAGAGTGACAGCAGCTGGAGGTGTGACAAACCGAAACCCTGTTAGAGGGACTTAAAGCTGAGATCTATGCAGATGTATAAACACAAATGAATGCAGCTCTGTAATAGGTCAAACTAGATTCAATTCATTTTAACTGTAGAGCAGTGCCGGAGTGTATTAGGAACACATAGACAAGATACCAATCAGTTTATGTGCTCACAAGAAGCATGCTGATTGCAGGAGAAAGCAGAGTGACAGAAGGATGTGCCCTATCATCATTCTGCATCTCTTATCACTGTTCATAGGCTGGGCAGGCGCAGGAGGAGCTAGGCTCAGAGGAGCAGGGTTGAATGGTGCTCATATTGTGCTCCATTAGATTCAGTGGGGTGCTGGGGAGACATCAGGGGTCTAATTGACACTTGAAAAATATTTAGCATGTTAATAAATCTCTGGAATATATGCATATTCCCCTGTGTTTTCGCTCTATACATGCTGGACGTACAGAGGAGAAACTGCAAAGCTTTTAACGGATTGTCAAAAATAACTGTTTGAATTGCTATTACAATGCTAACATTATACAATGGACATTTTTGTTGTGAACATAGAACGTCTTTAATGACTTAAAGTGATACTAAACCCAGGACCCTGCATTCACTATATCTGGTCTCCCACAGTACACAACATGGAAGTGCAATTATTTTAGTAAATATAAACTAATTATTTTAGTAAATATAAAAAAAAAACCTCTTTAGCAATACATACCAAATTGAGCATGTGCAGAGTGTCTCCACACAATATGTCTTATCAGGAGATAAGAGGGGGACACTGGAAGAAGGGAGGATCAGAAAACTTAGAATCAAACAGCCTTTTTACATGGACGATTAACCCCTTAGGTTCCACGAAGCATGCTGATAGGAGGAGAAAGCAGAGTGACAGAAGCATGTGCCTTATCATCATTCTGCATTTCCTATCACTGTTCACAGGCTGGGCACTCAGAGGAGCTGGGTTGAATGGTGCTCATTTTGTGCTCCATTAGATTCAGTGCGGTGTTGGAGAGACATCATGGGTCTAATTGACACTTGATATCTCATTAAAGAGAACCTGTCATAGGTTGTATACTATTACATTGGGTGATATTGGTCCCCTCTTCTGAAAAAAGTTCTAAAATAAGAAAGTGACATGAAAAAAATGAAATCTCCACTCCCACTACACACACCTATATATGTACGGCTCAATGCGTGTTATATACTGCCACACACACTAGAGTGAGAGCATTTTAGGGCTGGTAGTCATGGTGAACCCTAAACTGATGACTTGTAAGGGCTTTTAATGCAATGCCTATTTATAATGTTGGGTATCAAAGTTTTTTCACAGACAAACACAATTTTAAGGCTTGACATGCCAGCTCTCTATTTACCTCACACAACCTCAAATGTTATAATTTACCAACCAGTTTGAATAGGAAATATTTTCCCCTGCAAGCATGCTGCAGACAAGAACCCCTGCTCCCTGTGTGGAAGCTGTGATCTCTCTGCAGAGGTCTGCCATGCCCCTTGTCATGTTTCACATGACTGTCATATGCCTTTAAGTGTTCTTGTATTTTGTCTCTGCTCCTCCCTTTTCTCTGGTTTAGTTAATGCTGTATAGATAGCCCACCCTTTCCCAGTAATGCATTGTAGCTCAAGCCTCATGTCATGAAGCAGAGCACATTATGATCTTTTGACCTATCCGATGTTCATTGTTGTAAGATTCTCTCAGTTTATGGAATAAACTTCACAAGATCTACAAGATGTCTTCTGGATTGTGTCACTGCCTGTGATATTCAACTAAGATTGGAGTTATCTCATCACAGCTGTAAGTTACAGAGATCACACTTTCAAAGCTTAGATTGGAGAGACAGAACACCCCTTGTTGAGTTGCATGTATAACTTTGCAATACAAAAAAAAAAAACTTTCAACAAAGTACAAGCTCCCTGCTTATTGAAGGCCTCTATCTCTGACTCTGTTGGGTATGTTGGGCCTATCCAGAGAGACCACTGCTTCCCCACAGAGTGTAAGAATTCTTTGCCACTGCATGCTGGTGTCTGACATGCCCCTTGGTGAGTTGGATTTATACCTTTCTAGTCAATAAAGTGCAAGCTCCCTGCTGATTGAAGACCTCTAGCTCTGACTCTACAGGGGCATGTTGGACCTATCCAGAGAGACCACTGCTTCCATTAACAGTGTAAGGGTCTTTTGCTACTGCATGCTGGAAGGGGACAGGCTTTTCTTCTCAGGCTGTGGCTGCTTTCTAAAGGAAACAAACTGCAGGGCTTTTATTTTGATGCACCTGGAATGCATTATCTGATTTAAACCAAAAGTTCAGATGGGACAGTTGTAATCCTTGGACGTAACACACATGGCAAAAGATCTAAATGGACATGCATAGTATGCCCTGCTTCTTCTCCCTTACAGCCATCTGAATGCATTTCCTGACAAGCTGGACTTGTTCTCTATCACAGAGCAGTTTCTGCAATGTCAATAAAAGTTATGATGTAGCAGTGTTAATATTGCTTTATTGTAACTTCTTTGGTTCATCCATAGGTTCTGCATATAATGTCAGTTAAAGCAACCTTGCAAGTTAAAGGGCATGCTGAGGAAAAAAAATATTTAGTATGTTAATAAATCTTTGGAATATATGCGTATCCCCCTGTGTTTTCGCTCTAAACATTCTGGACGTACAGAGGAGAAGCTGCAAAGCTTTTAGCACATTGTCAATTGCTATTACAATGCTAACATTATAAAATGAAAATATTTGTTGTGAACATAGAAAATCTGGTCCCCCACAGTACACAGAACATGGAAATGCAATTATTTAGTAAAATATAAACTGCTAAATACCTTTTCTCATCAGCAGTTAGAGCAGTCTTGTGACTTCTATCTGTGTCCAGCCGAGTACTGGTTAAAGCTTGTAGGAAGAGCTTTCTTTCTGCTCTAGGAGGGTGCATAACCCCTGACCTCTGTCTGGATAGTGCCGATTGGCCCTGTGTTGATCACATGCACTCTCCAAGAAAAAAAAAAACTCTCTAGCAATACACACCAAACTGAGCATGTGCATAGTGTCTTCACACGATATGTCTTATCAGGAGATAAGAGGGGGACACTGGAAGAAAGGGAGGATCAGAGAAGTCAGGATCAAACAGCCTTTTTTCAAAATGTGGAGGATTAACCACTTAGGTTCCACAGTGAGTATAACAAGCATTCTTTACTGCATATACAGACTGATTTTACTGTTGTAGGTTTAGTAACACTTTAAAGGGGTACCAGCATGGAAATGTATTACAAAGCAAACATAACCAACAGTAACAAAGGGGATCAAGGCTCCTTTCATGTGGGCAATCAGATTAGGTCCACCTGTCAGTTTTTCTGGTGGACCTGATTGGAAGGTCCATCCATTCCTATGGGCAGACAGACAAGAGTCACTGGCCCTCAAAATGTGTGTATTTTTTACGTCAATTGAGAGCTCAGAGCTTTAAATGTCATCTTCTATGGTCCTTGAAGAGAGTACTACAGAATTAAAGTCTGATCCTGAGCCAAATTCTTTTTCATTTGTGCTTTGCATACTCCCCCCCCCCTCCTTCAAGACAGTTCAACTCACAGTGGGAGGGATTCAACTTCAGTGGCAAAAAGCAGTGGGCAGGGCTAGGTGTGGCCAGGTGCTGACTGACATGCTACAGACTGTACAGTCTGGTGAATCAGTAATATTATACGGGTTATTCTACCAGGGCAAGCAGGCACAGCTTAGTTGAGAGTGACAACTCCTCTTTAAATTCAGGAGCAGTGCAGCATTGTTGCCACACCATCACAGAAAGCTACATGCAAGGTAGACTTCACCGGAAGGCTCAACAGGTATTTATGGGACTTTTTTCAATGGGAGGCCATTAATATACCCAATCAAAGAGTCTGAGGGGTGTATTGAAGGTATGGTGAAGTAGTTTAATATGCTTCAGCCTTAATGCCAGCTATCCTAAATACATCTATACTCCCTGTATATTATTTAACAGAATGACATTACAATTTATTAGATACCAAACATGATAAAGATAATAGATCTCCTAGGAGATCTGATGTGTCCTGTTAGCCATATGGACCTTGAAGTATAGATGTGTTTGTTTTCTTACTGATTGGTCTTTTCCCATATAATCAGACCAAACCATCAGCAGAGAACATGGAAGGGCTCAAAACACTTGAGATTTCAGTGCAGAAGCATTGTATTGTCAGATTAAACAGGAAGTTAGGAGCACGTTGAATTTCTAGGACGGGTATCTCTTTCTTTTTTTTTTTGTTCTTGCAGTGATTTTAAAATAGTAACCCATGATATATTGTGCATGCATTGCAGAGGTCTACAGAATAGTTTTTCTTTTCACCTAGACATACCCTTTAATTGCACAGGTTAAAGAACAGTAAAAAGATAGTGAATTATGAGGAAAGAATAGCAGTTAAGCTGCTAGCTCAGATTTAAGAGGTAAAGGTGTTAAATAAAAGAGCTGTAAACAGCAGAGCAGCAAAAACAGTAAACAGTTCTTGTATTTTATGTGCTGAACTCCTTCTCAGCAGTCTGTCTTCATTTTGTAAGTCAGCCATTTCAGGAGGGGAGTAACATGTCCTTGAATGCCCTTCGGCCTGAGTGTACTGCACAGCGTGCACAGTGGCTACAAAATGCCACTAAACTATGCCTTGCGGGATTTGACTGCCACTGAACAATTAGCACAGCGTGCGCACATTTCACTGTTTTGATTCGCACATCTTGAGAAGCCACTGAATGCATGCTGAAATCTCCAGAAAACAGAGGCAGTTTGCTGTGACTGCTTGAATAAAAACATGAAAATCACTAGACTACAATGTCCCATACAATGACACATACAAAACTGGTCTCCCATGGGAAGAAAGAAATATAACAACTGCATATCAAATGGCAAAACAGAGACCAGAAAGAAAAGCAAGTGGATCTAAAACTCTGGTGAAAACTCATCTTTTCCGGTGAATGACAAACCCCCAGAATACATTTGTCAGGAACGTTGTGTCAGTCGTTAGAAAGATCATGCCAACTGTAAGGTTTATGCTCATGTTCATGCTCGTGCGCATATTAGAACACATATTTTCAGGGATGGGAGCCAAACTAAGCGTGAAAGGAATGCATGCACAACCATGTGCACATGGATTCACGGGCACATCGACCACAAATACAGGGGCCTAGTGGACTATTTAAACCTGGGTCCTGCATGAGATCATTGCTAGATGGTCGTTCAGCTTATATCTGTATTATCCTTGATCCTGAATCTGCTTGACCCAGTTTGTTGCTGACCTGCTTCTGTATTACCCCTGCCTGTTTATGTCTGCTGCCTACTTGTGTTGCCCACCTTGGCTTCACTCTTGACAAAGATTCTACCTATCGATTCTGGACTGTTATTAAAAAACCTGGAGCTGTTTTTCACAAACTGTATATCTGTGCATTGCTGAAAGGTCTCTGTTCATCTCCTGTAGTACATCCGCAGTCTCTGGTCATCTCCTGTAGTATATCCGAAGTCTCTGGTCATCTCCTGTGCTATATCCACAGTTTCTGGTTATCTCCTGTACTATATCCGCAGTTTCTGGTTATCTCCTGTACTATATCCGCAGTTTCTGGTCATCTCCTGTACTATGTCTGCAGTCTCTGGTCATCTACTGTAGTATGTCCGCAGTCTCTGGTCATCTCCTGTACTATGTTCACAGTCTCTGGTCATCTCCTGTAGTACATCCGCAGTCCCTGGTCATCTCCTGTAGTATATCCGAAGTCTCTGGTCATCCCCTGTATTATATCCGCAGTCTCTGGTTATCTCCTGTACTATATCTGCAGTCTCTGGTCATCTCCTGTAGTATGTCCGCAGTCTCTGGTCATCTCCTGTAGTATGTCCGCAGTCTCTGGTCATCTCCTGTACTATGTCCGCAGTCTCTGGTCATCTCTTGTACTATGTCCGCAGTCTCTGGTCATCTCCTGTACTATGTTCGCAGTCTCTGGTCATCTCCTGTAGTACATCCAGTCTCTGGTCATCTCCTGTAGTATATCCACAGTCTCTGGTCATCTCCTGTACTATATCCACAGTCTCTGGTCATCTCTCCTGTACCATGTCCACAGTCTCTGATCATCTCCTGTAGTATATCCGAAGTCTCTGGTCATCCCCTGTACTATATCCGCAGTCTCTGGTCATCTCCTGTACTATGTCTGCAGTCTCTGGTCATCTCCTGTACTGTCTGCAGTCTCTGGTCATCTCCTGTAGTATGTCTGCAGTCTCTGGTCTAAAACCCCTGATGACATCATATCTGATGATGCGTGTTGGGAGGAGCCATGGCGTATATCACCATGCATGAGTGCCAAGCGGTGGCCATATTGGATGTGGGCATCATTAGGTTGTGATCTGTACAGTGCTGTATAACCCTTCTTTTATTTATCTCTCTTGGATTAACAAACCCGCTTAAATGGTTGTTCTAAAAGGAGGATTGGAGCATAGTTGGAGGTTCAGTGTGGCTGCTTTCTCTGCTGAATGAGACAGGACCAGTCTGGATTATCTGCATGAAGCTAGGTTTGACCACTCTATAGTTTGAGGGTCAAACATATCTGGTAAGCATCCCTTTTACTTGTCCCTTGAAGCAGTGTTCATGTGCGGAATCCAGTGTGATGTTTGTCATGGATACCGGAAGTGTTTAATCATCACGTTTTGGAGATGGGACTATATCTGTCTTCATATTCACATGAACTATCTTTTTATAGATGATATTGTTATATATTGCACAAATTGACCAGATATCTGATCGTATAATTGATTTTTAAGGGATAATATTAGTTTTTTTGTAATTTAGTACATAGTTTGTTTTTTATTCAACTTAGCTTGCACAGAGATATTAATGGATTTTGCAGGGTAATATCTGGCTTTGCCATTCAGCACATACATTATTTTGGATATGATACTCACTGCATTGGAGTATTAAATCTCATAAATAGCAATTTATTTTGGAAATACGCCATTTTGATTTTGCACCAATAGGTATGTCCTGCACCTTTTTGAGTTATCATTGTAAAAATATCTGGTATCAATATTGTGCGAGCTGCTACACATTATATTAAGAACAAGCGCAGATTTTTATTTTTCATTTTGTGATATTTGTACTGTCCTGGCATTTTAGGGCCTCAAGAAATGAGATCAGCCATCAGTACATCAGGATCGATCATTTTTTAAATACACACTATATTTCAAAAAGTATTGTGACGCCTGCCTTTACACACACACAATCTTTAATGGCATCCCAGTCTTAGTCTGTAGGGTTCACTATTGAGTTGGCCCACCCTTGGCAGCTATAACAGCTTCAACTCTTCTGGGAAGGCTGTCCACAAGGTTTAGGAGTGTGTCAATGGGAATGTTTGACCATTCTTCCAGAAGCGCATTTGTGAGGTCAGGCACTGATGTCGGACGAGAAGGCCTGGCTTGAACACCCAAAGGTGTTCTATTGGGTTGAGGTCAGGACCTCTGTGCAGGCCAGTCAAGTTCCTCCACCCCAAACTCGCTCATCCATGTCTTTATGGACCTTGCTTTGTGCACTGGTGTGCAGTCATGTTGGAACAGGAGGGGGCCATCCCCAAACTGTTCCCACAAAGTTGGGAGCATGAAATTGTCCAAAATGTCTTGGTATGCTGACGCCTTAAGAGTTCCCTTCACTGGAACTAAGGGGCCAAGCCCAACCCCTGAAAGACAACCCCACACCATAATCCCCCTCCGCCAAACTTTACACTTGGCAAAATGCAGTCAGGCATTCTCCTGGCAACCGCCAAACCCAGACACGCCTATTGGTTTACCAGATAGATGATTGGATACTCCAGAGAACATATCTCCACTGCTCTAGAGTCCAGTGGCGGCGTGCTTTACACCACTGCATCCAACGCTTTGCATTGCACTGCTCGGCCATGGAAACCCATTCCATGAAGCTCTCTACACACTGTTGTGTTAATTTGAAGGCCACACAAAGTTTGGAGGTCTTTAGTTATTGACTTTGCAGACAATTGGCGACTTCTGCGCACTGTGCGCTTCAGCATGCACTGACCCCGCTCTGTCATTTTACGTGGCCTGCCACTTCCTGGCTGAGTTGCTGTTGTTC